AAAGAATCACAGTAAAAATTTTAGAATTTAAATCCTTATTAGGTGAAACATCCGATTTTGTCAGCAACTATTTAACTACCGCCGACAATTTTTAACCAAAATAAATTTTTAAGAAAATTGCACGGACTTTTATAAGATCAAAAAAGAACTAGACGTTCTAAGAAATATTCATACTACTTCATAAAAATAATTTAGAAGTGTTACAAATTTATTATTTTGTTTAAAAGTGAATATTACGCTTTGATTTATTAAAAAAACAATTATTTTTTTAATTAAAAATATAAATTATTTACATATATATATTATTGCTCTACACCTCTACCATAACAATAATTTATTTATAAAAATTTATATATATATATAGCACCTCGAAATCTGGTCACTTCTTTTATGCAAGCAGAGCTAGATCCTGAGCCGTTGCAGCAGTACGGGCGGCTAAAACCCACTGGGATCGTTGATATTATTAAGTCCATGTGCAAAAACTGAATTTCCTTTAGCTCATGAGTCCATCAAAGACTAAAAAAGGATGGAACTTTCTTACATGGTTGTATAAAATTTTCCAAGCTTTAATAGTGTGCTGGCATTCAGGGCATGAGATAAAATTTGTAGATATATTAAACCTTATTCTACTATTAATGAAAAAAGGCTTAAGGGTTCTGATAAGAACTTTTTTATTATAAATTGTTATTAAGTCACTAACAGTATCTATTCTAATGCAAATGAAACGCGAAACTACGGTTTACCATCACTTGTTGGCGGTAAAAACAAACGACGCATGCACAGTTTGTTTAGAAAATTTTCGCATAAGGAACCGTTATGATCCTCAATAATTCACTCTCATGAAACCCACACAGTACATGCCCCGTGGTACCTTTGTAATAACCGCAACCATGAGGAACTAAATATTGTTCAGGCTCAAGATGCATTACTATTTTCTAGCAAAGACTTCATGAGAGGCAGAAGTCTATAAACAAGCCGTTATTAAGACATGTTCTTATGATTACAATGATTTAGCAAATAGTAATAGGCCAAGGGGCTGTCCTCAACAACTATATAATGTAAAATTGTATTTGTTATACCGATGTACGAGGGTTGGAACTTTAATAGTGGCAATACAGCTGAAAAAACGCTACGCAACAAAACCAAAGAATATCGCGTATACCACACGTAAACTACATACCTACCTTACCTCTCAGCAAAAAGACTCGTCCTGCCTACGTCATGCGCATGCGGAGTGACATGAAGAATGAATGCTTGTATTAGCTCGAGGTCTAAAGTAAGTGTTGTCAAAACAAGAACGACGTTGGATAAAAATTTAATGTGCCAGAGGTCGTACAGCACGACAGTGTCATCAGGGCTTCAAGAGGCTTGGGGGGAATCTGCATTGGCTTCCAGAACCGTAGCAAGATGGGTGAAAGCATTCAATGAAGGACGCCAAAACATGTCAGACATGTTGCAGCCAGGTCGTCCCGAGTGTCAGCGATGCAGACGTGCAAGCTGTTGCCGTACTAATGGACAGTGATCACCGCCAAACGATTCATCAGCTGGCCAAACAAACAGGATTAGTGCATACGACTGTGCTGCACATTCTGAAGGAACGCCTGTCCATGAGAAAAATTGCTTCACGATGGGTTCCACATCAATTGACGGAAATGCAGAAATGGCTACGATACGATGCTTCCCGAACCCACCTGGAGCACGAAGGAGATGCTTTTTTACGCTGTATCATTACGCTGAATGAGACTTGGGCCCGATCGTACCAGCCAGAACTGAAATGCCAATCAAACGAAAGGCGTCATCACGACGTTCAAAATTTTGTCAGAACCCCAGCAATGTGAAAGTTATGGTGACTCTCATGTACGACCGTCATGGTGTCATCCTAACGCATACCGTTCCCCCACAGCAGACCATCACTGCGCATTTTTGGAGCACAATCTCCGACCAGCTTTGAGGAAAAAACGGCAACACTTTCTGCAGAACGCTCCTCTCATTTTGCATGACAATGCTCGGCCGCATGCAGCGCAAGCTGTGACTGATTTGTTCAAGCGATGGGGCTGGGAAGTGCTTTAGCATCCACCATACTCCCCATATCTAAGCCCTTGTTTATATGACTTAATTCCTAAGATGAAGGAACCACTTCGTGGCACTCGCTTCCAACTGTTCTTGAGATTCTTGTGGCAGTAGACCAGTCCATTCAAACTATCAACAAAACAGGTGCTGCTACAGGTATTCTGCGACTTCCACACCGTTGGAAACGGGCGACTATATGGAAGGACTGTAAAAATGGTGACATGAATCACTTTTGTATTCCTTGTAAATAAATAGTTGCCACTATTAAAGTTCCAAACCTCATATCTCACTAATGCAATGTTGCTCCTTCCCTCTTCTGTTTATGGTATTACCTAATGCATCAACTGCCTATGTCATTCTATTTCTATGCTTCTAGCCAAATCACCAGCTCGAACTGCCTTTTCTGGTCTGCGAATGTAGGGTGCTGTATCATGTTCAATTGTCTAATTATTATTAAATCTCTGTAAATTCAGTCAGCTACAACCTCTCTTTATAACAATTAGGAAAGGTAAACTGTTCTACATGGAGTAGGGCCTTTCGCCCGGGTACCAACATACTCTTAGAATCGGAAGAACCCATTAACAGCCATTCCTATTTTGAAACGCTAAGTACACACTGCCAACATTCTACTTAATTTGTTGTAGCACTACATTTGGAAGGTACTGAATCTTTCTCCCTGGTCTTGATATTGTACCCACTGGGATTATCTCTTAAAGCATGATGATGAACCTGGAAGACAAGCAATTCACACATTCAGGATGCTCCCACTATATGGCTTCAGAGACTGCTTTGGTGTACCAATGACACAATGTTTCGAAAAGACATAGTGTATGTTATATAAATATAGGTATAAACAGTAGTTAAACAAAATAAATGTATAAACAGTAGTTAAACAAAATATATGTATAACTACTTTCCATATGTACGATTGCTTGTGAAAAAGAGGTTTGTCTAGAAGAGGCCAGTTACCTTACTTCTTAAATGATGAGAAGGGTTAATTAAGACTGGCTCATTTTACAATACAGTATACTTAATTTAGCTACCTTCAGAAAGAGATACCTTATATGAAGATTTCTAGAAATGTGGTAGCACAGCACTTCTCCATACAGTGCCTATCCTATTCAATAATGCAGAAAGGATATGAAGAGCTTCATTTAGATTTGGTTAATGTCAATTACAGAGATCAAGGTAAGAAGTATAGTTAAGATCCATGGAAAAGATTTCAAAAATACTTATTAACTTTAGTCAGCAATAACAGCTATCTACTGCAAAATTAAAAGTAATAATTTTATTCAAGGCCCTAGCTTATTAGCCTTTCAAACCAATTCTTAAATCTTCCCTTCCCTTTGACAGAGCTCTTGGGTACTTTACCATAATCTATTTTACTTATTAAAGAACATTATATTTATTATAAACTAGCTTTCAGATGAGATTGAATTTAGTAACTTAGCTATGGCAGATAAAGATGTTCCTAGTATGTTTTTGAATAATTTTTACTTTAGGAATAGAACTTATACGACAAACATGAACCAAGTACTCCAAGAAAATACATTGATTTGTTAATAGTTTAAGACCTTCCAGTTCTAAACTTCTTGACTAGTGCTGCTTTTTTCAGAATGAATTCTTTTCACAGTTACAAGGTAATTTTTTGAAAAAGTATAGATAATAAGGGATTGTAAAACGATATGTGAACAGTTACACAATGTACAAAATTATTAAAAAAATTTACCATGATATCTCGATTTCTTCAACAGCATGATACTGTCAAAAGTTAGCCATATATAAAAGCTCTTATAAAGTTCATTAAAGCAGATTTGTAGTACAATAGATATTTTACATTATTGCTGAGAGCATTATTAAAGTCATGTTAATCATTACATGCAACTTGGTTTCAATATGTATTTGGCTTAACTTATTTGAAACTTCATTAATCATTATAGACGGCAATAAAAAAATATAACTGGCAGTGAATGCTTTGATGTAAATTCTGTATATTGTTTTGATATTTGTTTAGGCAGAAAATCCTGCATTAGACATATGAACACAAACTACAATTTAAGATTTTGAATTAATCTTGTATGCAGGCGAAACCGCAATAGACTTTCTGACGACCTTGTGTCTGTTGTATTGGGAAGAGTTTTGGGTTGATTGATACTCATTTAAAGTCATTCAGATGCCTCTTTATCTGTCCAAAAACAAAGTTATGTTTGAAACAAAATTCTCACATTCTTCATACACAAGTACATAATTTTCTTAAAAGAGGACATTTTACACAGTTTGTTATTCTTATCATTTTGTTAAAAAATTGCCTCCATACATAGGCAGCCATCAGATTAGTTAAAATCAAACTGTGTACAACTGCATTCTGAATCCATAAATTTTTTTGAACACTTTTATACTTATAAAATTAAAAATAATGCAAGATATTTTGAAAATATCTGTTAGTCTTCTTAGTCTAATTACCTCGAAGTTATTTGTATTAAAATTATTGTACACTGCATATTACACAGATAATATACATTTTCGAAAAGGAGGTTGGGAATTCCTGGTTTAAGCCACTAAAAAATATTCCACTGATCTAGTATATTTAAAACACTTTCTCTTTGGGTACTCAGCTGATTGGGCAGAAACAGTTCCAAAAAGATGTTTAGTTTGGGTGAATGAGCTGGTAAAAAATCCTCAACACTTAAAATCATTAGCAGTCTTTTTGAATTTCCTGTGCACTTACCGACTCAAAATATCAAGACTCACCACCAAGTACACCACAAGTACTATTTCTCAAAAGTTTAGAATATCTTTACCAGATCTGTTCATATAAGTGCCAATGAATTATTAAATGTATCCTTTAAAAAATTTAATGGCTCATTAAAAATCATCAATTCTACTTCTCACTGTGATTACACGACAAAAATAAGCAACATTACACAGGATTATCGTTGCAGATTTATTTAAGCTCCTTTTTACACCATTACAAAATACAATGAAAAATGACTAACATTTTTTTCCTAAAACAAGGAACAAAGACATGTTGCCATGCCCCATTCCAAAATGATTCTCTCAATGAGAAAATCAAAGAACATGAAAATTCCAAATAACTACTTGACAAACAATTTTTAAACACTTAATTTGAAAAAGCATTTCTTTTGGATGCAGAAAGTTTATATATGATACAATTCAAAGAAAGAATATCACAAATATCAAAGTATGTGCTAGACATATAATTAGCAGAAAATTTATATGGCATCTATATCCAAATCATCATCATCATTGCCAGCAGGGACTTCAGGTTTTACAGGCTTTGGCTGTTCTTTCTCAACACTTATTGATGTACTGATGTGACGATCGCTATACACAACCTAAATAAATATTACAATTAATACAATTAGAAACTTGATAATGGAAAAACACATCACATTTTGCAAGGATTTAAACATAAAATCTTAAAAAAAAAAAAAAAAAAAAAAAAAAACATTTCAAAAGAAATAAAAACTGTGCATATCTACAAATTTCTTAAAATAATACAGCCAGACAACAGCATAAATACAATTTTGTATGTACTGATTAGAGCATTTCTTAAAATTTTATGACAGGTCAGAAAATATACCCAGAAAAATATAAATTACAAGTAATCTGGCAAGAATAAACTAAATATTTAACCTTACTGGAGAAGTCAAACAACCAGAACCCGCATAATACTTGTAAATTTTGCAGGAGTTTGTTGTTTGACTTCTCCAATAATCATTATTCGGCATGTTATTCTAACCTAAATAGTGGTAGCATGATTAAGTAATCATTTCTTCCCAAATATAGGATCTGCCGCAAATATGCAACGCAAGCTAAGCTTGTCAAAAATATTTTTATGAATTAACTAATTGGTTTAAGAATTCCCCACCAAGAGATATATACGTCAAAGGCTCTATTCATAATTAAAAGACTGAATGAACAATACATATTCAAGCAGAAGAAATTTAAAACATACTTCAACTTCCTCCTCAATTAAAAGACCGAATGAACAATACATATTCAAGCAGAAGAAATTTAAAACATACTTCAACTTCCTCCTCATCATCTTCATTGTCGTCACTTGACTCCTCCTCTTCAGCTTCTTGGAGCCACTTGATAAAAGGTTTAGCTTTTTCATGGATTTCTTGAGCCACTTCTTTACTCACATACTTTTTAGACACCTAAGTAATATTAATTTTATTTATTAAGACAACTGCAAAAAGTTTCATAAATATAATTTTCAAAAGTTCCACTATACTCCATGTGATGTGCACTTATCAAAATTTCACTAAAACTGTAATGTACTCTTTTGACATTTCCCCCTTTTCCCCAGATGTATTAAATTTTATAGTGATATATATAATTTCAACTATATACCTGCAAATATAAGAAATGTACGAACTTTTAGCTTTCATTCATAATGAAAGAATAATTGAAGGTATGCTAATATACGGTACTAAACTAATCAATTTTTTTAGATCCATAAGTAAATGGCTTTTCAACAATCAATCTTAAAGTTGACAGAACAACACAAATGTATTTTAAATTTTAAAAAAATCCTAAATTGAATTTATCAACAAATAAGTAATTTATATATAAACTGAACTTTTCAAGTTAAACTGCATATAGATTTTGACTAAGTACATAAATTTTATGTAAAATTTTTTAAATTCAAGCCTTTACAGATTTTCCCCCCTAACATACTAAATGTTTGAATATAAGTTTAGATATAGAAAGCTTTGAAAAAGAAAATTACCTTCTGCGACCAATCTATCAATACTTCTTCCTCTAAGATGTCAGTATCATAAAATAGTTTCAAAATGTGCGGAACTTTGTTCATCAGAGAATCTTTGTGCAAATTGATTACTTGCTCTAAACCACCCAACAGGTATTTTTGGGCTTTGTGATTTCCATGTGTAAACTAGAAATATACAATTCAAGAAAAAATAAGCAAAAAACAAATCACTTTAAATGAATGAAATTAGTGAAATTTGACTTACTCTTAAAAACAAGAGCCTGTGAGTTTTGACTTCTTGCATTATATGTTCTCCAAGTAACAATTCACATAAGACCAACACAGCCTTGTCTTTGATATCAAGTCTCTCAGCCTCACCAACCAATTCTTTTTGCAGGTTCTCTATGGTTCCAGTTTCTTTATGTTTCTAGAAAAATTAGAATTTAAAAACTCCATAAATAAGAAGGTTTAAATTTTATAACAGCCACAGAATAAAAATGCTTAAGAAATGTTACAGAAAAATATTTAATAATTATATAAATAACGGTAAAATATTCCACTTTTCAGCTATTAAATTATACTTCTCATCAAGCTTACAATCTATCAACATACCTTTACAAATTCATAGAATAAATCAAGTCTTTCCTGGGGGGATTTTTCCAAGTCATCATTGAGCATTAAACCTTTGGCTCCAGATGTCAAACTTTCCATACGCCTAGCCACAGCTTCAGCATCTGTGTCATCACACCAGTCATCATCATCATCCTACATCAGATGTAACATTATTTCCATGTTAGGTTAATTTAAACATTACAAAGCTTCAGAAAAAGTAAAAATTTTAAAAGGCAAAGGTCAGGGAAGTATAATACTTCTTTCTGCTTTTTAGACATAGCGTTCATTTTTATATGTAACAAATTTATTACATAACCGGTGACAAGGGGTGCAGCTGATAACTATACATTTGTCACATAAAATTCTCAGTTTCATCATTAAAAAAGTTAAAATTTTTTAACCTTTATACCTTCTTATTACATTTACCAAATTAATAACATTTAAATATTATATTACTAACAATCATCTCAAGATTGATTTCAGGGGTTAGATCCTAGCAGAGCCCATACCCTTGGAACAAATGATTTTGGCGATGGCGCATATCGATGTACAAAATCAAGGGTGTGTGCAATTCTTTGATGGTTTTTTAGGTCAACGTGAACATGGATACCCAGCCTGTGCAATTCTTTAACTTGTTATGGCGATTTTGATAAATGCACGAAGCAGTGCGCATTTTTCCAGTTTGTCGCCAAGAGTGTGGGCAGTTTGCTGCTCTAAGTTTAGAAGGTGGCACCCATTGTGCAATGGCCAAGGATCTGACCACCAAGAACTTAAGTTCCCAAAAGGCAATAAGAAAGTGGCATTTTCTTGGTCCTCCCATTTTCTAACTTGAATTTGTTTCTCTTAATATACACCAAAGCACCATTAATATGAGGTAGGACCATTTTCACCCTCAAAACTATTAATACCCATAGAGGCATTGACGTGACAATGTGCCGATAGAAAGCCTGAGGTATCTAGTATCACGCACTCACAAAGTGATGTTAGTGGCACACTACAAATTCAGTTTTCAGTTGGAACTCCAAATGTTCAATTGGATTCATGTCAGGTAAATTTGGAGACCAAGACACGAGTCAAAATTTACCAGAATATTCCTCAAACCACTATGACATGGTGCCTCATCTTATTAGTAAATGCCATCACCTGCTGAGAATACTACTGCCACCACCTTATATCTTGCCAACTGTGCATTCGGGTGCTACCGTTTCCATTGGAAACTGGCGTATTTGCATTCACATGTGCGATATGTAATTGATCAGAAAGGTATACCCTGCCATCAGCACAGATGTGATTAGGGTTATGAAGGCCCATATGCAATAGTCTAAGCTCAGGGGTGTTTGTGGGACCCCAAAAAATCCGCTGAAACTTTTATGGACTTACTACCGACATTTTGGAGTTTCGAGAAGGGAGGGGGGGGAGAAATGAAAAATTACAATTATGAAGTATTGAATGACCTAATTATAAAAGTTCAATGAATTACTTTTTTTGCAAAATTAATAACCATAAATTTTCAAACATAAACTACTACATTTTAAATTACCTGAATTAATTCTTTAAAGAAATTATCTAATTTCTGCTGCTTTTTTTATTTTCTGATGTTTGTGGGCTTATCTTTCTTTTGTGGTGAACTTCATAATTGCAGGAATGTTGACTTTTATTTTCCTCATTTACAGTTGAAGAAATTTCCTCGAGAACTGCACATGCAAAGGTAGAAGCAGTTTGCTTTTCTGCTAATGTAGAAGGTTTTTCAGAGACTTTTATAGGTGACTCATCTGAAATACATGTTTTTAAGTCCTCTTGATATGTTTTCCAACTTCTGTTCATATCCAGTAAGAGATATTTGTGAATTGGATCAGTCATTGGATTTTTTGAGCCATATTTTTCACATGAGGTTTCTTTAGAAGCCATTAAATCATATTTAATAGTCTGCACTGCATCTAGGGAATCAATCTTAAGAGAAGTTCTATAGTCAGTGACAAGTGTATCCATTAAGTTGAATGCACTTTCCAATAATGGGCCATGAAGCAGCTAAGGCAGGCTTTGACCAATTTAGCCAATGTAGGATTACTTACAATCATTTGTGAAATCATCTTTTAAATTAACAACTTTAGACCAATATTTATCAATTGTACACTTCACTTGATTTCCACTTTCATCAGATGTGTAGAGCATTTCTTTGGTGATATCAATATCACTCTGGTATAACCATATTTCAGCTTCTACTTTTGACTTTTCATTATCACTAAAAATATGGGACATAAAAGATAATTTTTCAAAAGCTAACATTGTACTGGTTTTACCACTTAGCTCTGGATCTAATGCTGTAAAACTAATTAGATATGAATTTTTAAGGAGTAATTTCTGTTTCATATGTTGTGCTGTATTAGTATAACCTTTCATCAGAGAAATTCGGAATTCTTTTGCTATTGGATGATTTTTTGATAATTTCTTCAGGAGAGTGGAAGCTTCTGCACCAGTAAATATTACTTAGCTAGGTAGATGGAATTCTGGATTTGTGACATCAACCTTTAATAAACCATTATAAGATGTGCACTCTATATTTTCTGGCTTCACAAAAAAAGAGAAAAATTTTGCCATCAATTTATAAATACTGGAATGTATTAAATGAAGCATTGGTTTTTTTGTTTCAAATAATTTAATATATGTGTTAAACTCTGGTAATACTGCTGAATATAATGCCATATGCAATAAAGTTTTGTTTTGCATAACAACCCATTTAGTATTCTTTTTTTCCGAGCTAAAGTATCCTTTGCGAGTTGTTGGGAATGCAAGCAAGAATACACCCCTTCAGCAATTTTTTCCGAGCTGCAGAAATATTTCTTTTATTGTATACAGTTTCGACATAAGAAAAATAATCCCCTTTATCAGTTTTATCCAACTAGTGAAAATAAAATGCAATAAGAGCATCCCACAGATCTTTGATTCTTTCTAAAACACATAAAATGTACACCCACCTATGGTCTGGTCTCTTCAAGGGCTTAAGTTTTTTAATGGCAAGGGATTCATAGATTTTGAAAAAAATTTCTTTTACTGCAGCTTTTCATATCAAAATAGATGTCATCAAACAAATCTTCTAAGTATCTATCAAAAAATGAAGCAAATTTTTTTGCACAGTTATTAGCTGTGTGACATGTGTCACCATTAATATCTAATAAGTGGGGTGCTTTGTTTGATCGTAGTCTGGTTTCAACACCCTTTTTTTTCCCCACGCATGGTGTTACATGAGTCCATTAATACACTAATTAAGTTTGCCCATGGAATATTATTATCTTCAATAGTATTTATTAACAACTGCTTTAAAAACAGCTTCTGAATTGCAAGATTCCATCTTCAGAGATGCAAAATGATGAACTACAACTTCATTTTGATTGTTGTCATAAAGCTGCACCAATATTGCCAGTATACTTTCTTGAGCATTGCTAGTACTATCATCCAAATTTAGAGAAAATGGAGTCTCCTTTAAAGTTTTAATGATATTTTCCTTAATAGTTTTTGCGAGCCCATATTTCATCTTATAACATGCAGTAGTCCTGGACATTTCCAACGAGTTTAGTGCCGTCTGATCGCGGCTCAACTGTTTGCAGAGTTCAATTAAATTGGGAGCTACATTGAAAGAAAGAGAATTCTCGGCAATAAACGAAGTTATTAATACCTCTTGGCGTGCTTTTCTTGTCACTATATCCAATGGCCGAGCATCAGTCTCCAGTAAGTCATCAGTATTTTTTGAGTTAGCATAATTACTTAAAGTCATTGAATGTTTAATGCACTTTGAATATTTATATATTCTAAAACTGTGTGTCACAGTTTTAGAATGATTTGTGAAAGCCTTGAATCCTTCCCCACCATACTTCAGCAGTGAGTTACAAGAAACACAATATGCTCGTCCAGCAACATTTATTTTCTTGTACCTTGTGCCGATGGTATCCCCATTACCATCTCTCCGTTCAATTCAATTCCACCTAAATGCATTCCGGACACCTTCTTCTAATTGTATAATATCACTACTTATATCGAGAAATTTCATAGTGAAATTCTCTTGCGTACATAAATAAAAAAATATTTCAATAAACGAAACGAAAAATTTACACGTGGATCAATAAATGAAACGAAAATTTTACACAACGGAGGAAAAAAAGTTGAGAAGCGATCAATGACAAATAGCTAATATGGCGAAAAATCCTCCTTCTCTACTTATTGGTGCCACGCAAGGAGAGGTAAGACCTTTGAACCCAGAGTAACGTGATTGCACATCTGGTCGCACGAAGTCTCTCCCTTTTTTTTCTGCCTTCCTACTTGCCGAAAAGAATCCAGAAGAGAATATCTGAGAACCGGGGGAATGAGTCATAACTCGCAATAAGGAAAGAACAAAAAAGTCCCCCCCTTTTCACGCATTATCACTGCCTTTGGAGAAAGAAAGGAAAAATTTTCACTACACACACTGACCTTGCGTTTTCTGCTTTCAAAGCAAACAAAATTACCCAGATCAAAATAAATAATTCATTATTATTCCTACTTCCTTTTGAACGACGATCCCCGGAATTTCCGGGTATCAAAGTTCAAAATCCCCGGAATTCCGGGGTTTCCCCGGAGCACAAACACCCCTGCTAAGCTGCAATGTTTGTTGAGACACGCTGACTGGGTCACCATTATTATAGCTGCTGCCGATTCCAGTCTATGCAAGTCACGGTGAACAATGCATAACAGTCTCCGCTTTCCTGGAATGAATGCCTCAAAGTGCCTGGGCGATTTGTCGTTTCACCATACATACACCACTTTTGATAAATACTTACGATGGCCACACTTTTTAAAATTTTTCACGAATACACTGTTTTTGAAATTATGCTTCCAACTACTAAGCCATAACTATTCGTCCTTTATTGAAATCTGATAGATCAGCTGCTTTTTTCTTATGCTGCTAAATATTCTGCGAGTGGAAATGCAGTACATGGGCGTTTTACATGCTCTAGCATCAGCAATGTGTGTTTCTGGTCTTGTCTCTGGATGAGAGGTTATAATGCAATATCTCTTCAGTGTATATACTGTTTTAAGCACCTGGACATATTTTAAGTATTATACTTATGTATTTAATGATATCACATTAAATACAACGCTTTTTGAATTATAGATATAATTTGGGTGCTTGGAAGTTTAAAATAAAAAAATAAAGAATATTTTTTTATGTTAATGTAATACACCTCATTTCAAAAATAAAACTGCTACTTGTTACAATACGAAATACAGCTTAGACACACCTTATGCAACTTTACCTTTTCAGGTGATCCATTCTCCAAGTCAGAATCATGCTGAGGGCTGTGTGATCCACTATCTTCCCCATTTTGTTGTTTCTTAGGGGTTTTCTCATCTTTACCCTTCCTCTTTCCTTTCTTAGTAGATAAACTTGAGGTTTTGGTTGGATCCTTTAAAACAAGAAAAACAAAATTTAATATATTATCATTAGAAAATGAAAAATAAGAACTTAGCTATTAATATAATTAAAGCTGTATGATAAGATTTCAATTATGAGAATTTTAAGTGTCATTTCAAATAAAAAATATATACGTACTTGCCCTGGTGGATTCTTGAGGATAAATGTAGTTAACTTGTGAGTTGAATCAAGCTGTCCACTGTAGCCACAAGCAATACACTTGGTATTGATTACACCTTTTTTGGGAAGGACAGTCTAAAGAAATTTCATTCACATGAATAAATTAATATTTTAATTAAATACAAAAATAACTGCTTTATGTTCAAACACTTAGCATAAATGTCTGCAACAAATTAATAACCAACTCTATTAATATACATAGCTTAGTTTTCTTTAATACCCAATTTATATAACAAATTCACATAATTATATGAATTCAAGTACACAGTCTAAAGTAGTATAATAAAATTTATTCATTTAAAGTTGCTAAGCAAATTTAAAGTGGAAGAAAGGCAGCACTGAATGATTAAAACAGCATACCACCCTACACTCAGGTTATCTTATCACCTTCCTATAATTATCTCCAACACTGGCATTTATCACTCTTAGCATTCACAATTAATACACACTGATTTAATTTTAATTGGGTAATAAAATAATTAAAAAAATTAAGTCTAACAAAATTATGATCATGATAATAGTTTCAACAAATAGATGACTTCATAAATAACAAAGCACTATTACTCCTACTCAAAATACATACTACCCTAACAGTTATGCATTAATATTTTCAAGAACTCTGCCACTAAATGCAGGCATGAAAGTGTAAGTTGTCAAAAAAAGCTGAACAACACGCGAACACAAAATTACACAAACTAAATGCGCATGCGTGACCAAAAAAAACATACATATAATTAAACTAAAACAATACTTGTACTTACTATTTTTGCTATTAATTTCATCTTCCACTTGTAAAAAAAAAAAAATCAGTAAATCACCAAGCGATTGTAATGAATTAACCTCCTCTTTATGTAACTTAATTTAACAGTTGATATATGAATAATGTACACAACATTAGAACACACTAATATACATATTTATGTTGTATATTACTGCCCATTTTCAGAGATAATATATATATAACTGTTACTATAGCTTTTAATTATCTTCACTTTTCGTTCAATAGACAGTACTTTATATAACACCAGAAAAAGTAGTCCTGTGAGATAATATAGTAACAAAATAAGAGGAATTTAAAAAATAACTATTTTGTCTGTCTCACTCGATCCTGATTAAAAATTTTTAGAGAAAAAGCTTTTTCTTTTTTACTACTTTTGCAGCAATTCTAATTTCCGTTTGCAAGCTAGTCCAATTTCTTTTCAGCTGCTTTTTTCCAAATTGTTATTTTTTACTTTTTTTTTCTTCTTTATTTTCTGCAATGTTGAATTGCCTTTTTTTTTTTTTTTAGATTCTTGCTCCTCCTTTTTTTTTTTATTTCTAGCTCTTCTTTATACAGTTCATGAGAATTCCTTAAATTTTTACATAGAGTTTTGTGTACTGGAAAATGCAAGTGGTTATCCGTATGTCTGACAGATGGCGCCAGCACCAATCGCCGAAATTATTGAAGTCAGCTCTCGTTTGACGGTTGCTTGCTCTGCTTTGATTCGATATTCGTACGCATCCAGTTCCGCCTTTCTACATAACCCTACCTACTTTTCCTTGATGTGAAACAACGTATTTCGCGATCTCTGGCATGATGTAAAGTTTTTGTTTACAAAGAGGAAGAGAGACAGCGTGCTCTCCGTTTACCCCCCACACATTTGCTGGTCGCGATTTCTCAACGGTTCTGACATCGATCTCAGAAACAGCCCAGGTGACGTTCAAAAACGCGGAAAACTTTCATGCCTGTTTTATACAATCCATTGATACTTTATTTTCTGCAATGTTTAATAGCTTTTCTTTAAGATTCTCGCTCTCCTTTTTTATCTCTAGATTTTTTTTATACAGTTTATGAGCAATCTTTAAATTTTTAAATTGAGTTTTGTGTACTGGAGAATGCAAGTGGTTATGCGTGTGTCCGACAGATGGTGCCAGCATCGATCGCTGAAATTATTGAAGTCAACTCTCGTTTGACGGTTGCTTGCTCTTCTTTGATTCGATATTCATACGCATCTAGTTCGGCCTTTCCACATAAGCCCTACCTACTTCACCTTGACGTAAAACAACATATTTCGCGATATCTTTTTTTTACAGAGAGCGTGTCCTCCATTTACCCCCCCCACACACACACATTTGGCGGTGGCAATTTCTCAATGGTTCTACATTGATCTCAGAAACAGCTCGGATGATGTTCAAAAAAGCAGAATTCCGCGAAAAACCTTTATGCCTGTAAATGGTGAACATCAGCAGATAACAATCTACCTATAAGCAGTCATATCTTGACATAAACCATGTCTTACATTTATTCCCATGTTACTTAATGATGAAATATTGCCCTTTCAAAAATGCTCCACTTCCGATATAATAAAATTATATTTCAATGACAACAAGTCAAAGAAGTAGGATTGCATTGCAAGATTTAAAATCTGAGAATTTTAACAATAACTTGACATGACATAAAACGGCCAGGCATCATAAAAACAAAGGTTTAATTCTGCTTCATGTTAGTAACAACATCTACATCACAGCTTTAGTTACACAGATTCCAAACTACAGTGGTGGCCAAAATTGTGGACACTTTTGGCAAAGTTGTATATATCATTTTAAAGAGAATTTATTACTGAATTCAATTATTTGCAATACAAAAAAGTTATAAACGATAATAGTTATCAATATACATTCGATAGTGATGATTGCAGTGAGTTATCAGTACTTAGTAGGGTACCCTTTATTTTTTATTACAGCTTCACATCGACGTTTCATTGTGCTGAGAAGAGTTTTAGTGAGTTATCAGTACTTAGTAGGGTACCCTTTATTATTATTTTTTTTATTACAGCTTCACGTCGACATTTCATTGCGCTGACAAGAGTTTTAAGCTCTTTTTTTGTCATTACATAATGCCAGGAAACAATTATAGCCTCAATTAGTTCCCTTTTATTTGATGAGCGCCTCATTCGGACAAGAGTTTTCAAACGGTGCCACAAATTTTCGATAGGATTGAGGACAGGACTGTTTCCTGGCCATGACAATAATTTAATGCTCTTTGTACGAAACCACTCTTTCGATATTTTGGCCATGTGGCAAGGAGCAGAATCCTGCTGAAAAATAAACGAAGCACTGTTGGGAAAGAGAACTCTGATGGAAGGTAGAAGTTTTGGTTCTAGAATAGTGTCAATGTATTTTCTGGCATTCAGTGTCCCATCGATGACATGAAGGCGACCAATATAATCTGCTGACATGCATGACCAAATCATAACCCTAACTGGGTTCTTCACAGTTGCATGAATGCAGTCAAGATGTAGCTCTTCTCCTATTCTATGTCTTGCATATTTTCGCCCATCACTACCGAATAACGATATCTTAGTTTCATCACTCCATATAACTTGTGACCACTGATCATCTGTCCAATTATTGTGTTCCTTTGCCCACTGTAGTCTTTTTTCGTGGAATTCTACCTCTCAGTCAACATCTGTTAATCTTCTCCTGATTGTTCTTGAACTGACAGAAACACCAGCATCATTCAGATCACTTCTGATGACATTTTTCTATCTTGGAGACGACAGTCTTTTTATTCTTCTGTCATCAATAGATGTGGTGCACCTTTTCCTTCTTTGTTTTTTATTGAATTTGTCTCCCGATATCGTAAACAAAACTTTCGGACTCCAGATGTAGTCACTGAACCACACACCTGTCTTGCAATTTCAACATAGGAAAGACCACTTTCTCGTAACACAATAATATCACATCTGCTTCTAGGTGTAAAATCTATTCTTTTATTTGATGTCATTGCTTCTTGACTAAATATTAAAAATTTTTACAAAAATTCCAACTTGTAATTGCAGTGTATAAGAAACAGGTCCTCCTTCTACAGAACAAAGCAAAATAATGAATTGAATTGTTTCAAGTGTAAACATGATGTCAGCTTCTACTGGCAGTTACTAACATTTGATTGGTTCTCAGAACAAGAACAGTGATTGACCAGGAAAGCTAGACATTACAAACCACTTCATAACTGTTTTTTATTTATATTAAAGTACATGTAACTTTTTTTTGTATTGCAAATAATTGAATTCTGTGTTTTGTATTGAATTCAGTAATAAATTCTCTTTAAAATGATATATACAAGTTTGCATTTTCCGAAACATAACATTTTCTGTAAGCATACAAAGTTCAAAAACAAAAAATTTCCAAAAGTGTCCATAATTTTGGCCACCACTGTACATTAAAACTTGTCAGTAATTAATGCACAATCGACATTTTTACAACTTGGTGCTTACATATTAAGCCCCTTATCTGCTGTGGACGTAGGTATGTCCTTCCGAAATACTACGATTTGCTTTGTGCTGCTACCAGTAAAATTATTCATAAAGCTTTGGATCCAACACCACAAAGTGAGTGATGGTGAAAACAACGATTGCATGGTTATTGCTTATGTTTGAAAAATGTATTCTTTTATTCTGTGTTTTCCTTTTTTTTTTTTTTTTACTGTTTGAGGAGGTGCTTTTTTTACGAATATGTCGGACAGTGAAATAGATGATTATTTTCTGTCAATTTCAAAATTGGACATACCTCAGAATATATTAAGTCAGATGAAGAGGACAGTGATTATTCTTTGAAAAATGGACGAGGCATCCAACCAATTCAGAAGAAATACATGTTTTTAAGGTATACTGATTTTACAAGGTATAACACTGAAACCTGATATTACACTTTACTGGTATAAAAAGAAATTCATCCAAACTCCCTTTTCCAAGATCTTTTTTATATTTTTACTCGAAACATTAAATTTTGTATTTTCATTTTTCTTTACTTTGTGAAAGGAAACAGTTTTCAAACAGCAAAACTTGCACTTATTTCCCCCCCAAATACATTGCACAACTGCGTGTGCCTGCGTAAAAAACGATGGCACTAGGGAGTGAAACTAGTATGTAGGTTAATGCAACAACCCTGGGGCAATCACAGAATTGCACAGGCTATCAACCGCAGCTATCTAAGAAACACACACCGTTTCCTTTAAGAAAAACTTCAGTGAAATTCTGTACCCTTGCAGAAATTCTATCCCATATTTTCTTACATCTTGTAGCTTTTTCAATTGCTGACAATTTCCCCAAGATCATATTTTAAAACTAACTGAATTGGGGGGGATGAGAACTATGTGAGAAGAGGGGAATAAATTTGGTAAAAAAATGTTTTGTGTATATAATTTGATATTTTGTTCACACAAAGAGTGAGAGAGAAAGTACCAGTGTGTGATTGGAGCTCCTTAATTATTCTTGTTTAATGTTTTAAATAATTACCCATGTTGAGTCTGTTTGAAACAATGAATAATTTAATTGCAGTTTATCAAACTTTTAAAACACCTTTATGCTCATTTTAATTTAAAATCTGACCAACAATTAATTGTTTAAAATATTTTGGTAGTACTTTATAGCCAATATTTTCGATTACAATAGTTTTCTTACTTTCTAGGAAGTATAACCCTTTCTTAGTTGAAAATTTTCATTTTGCAATATTAAATTTTCAACGAAAGCTGCTTAAGCACTAAATTTTATTTTTAGTCTTTATATATATATTTAAGGAGTTCATTGTAATTTAACATTTATTGTCATAGGAAAAAAGAAACAGTCTTAAAAAATAATGTATAATAACTTGATAGTACACGATTGTTCCATTATAATGTTTTGCAATTTTCATTTTCAACATTAACAAATGGGAAGGAGGGGAATATCCCACTGATCTAAAATTCTTGTAATACTCTAAAACAGATAAGCTTGTATTACAGTATTCTAATATTTTATGAGATTTTACATTCTGACACATTTTTCTAAAATAGAAATCAATGAAGCAATTGCTTTCTCTTTCCACAAAAGTTACAATATGTTGTTACCATTACATAAATGATGTATTCATTGCACACTAATTTTATACAGCCAGCAGTACTTTCTCCAAGAGTTTTCACAATTAAACTATTTTTGGTGTGCTTGCAGATGAATTATTTTATGGTAGGATCTAAAAACATTAAATTAAAAAGCCATTACTGAATGGTCCAAAACTGATAAGTTTCTGTCCAATTAAAAATTGGCTTGTATATCAGTTAATTATCTTTTATGAAGAAATATTTTTTAAACACTTCTGAAAAAATAAGTGGTTGGCTCAAGCAAACTCAATAAGTTTTGCAGTTACGGATGCCCACGTGTAGACGCTACCCTGGCATAATGATTTCCAACTTTCGATTTTTTGCATGTTCGAACAGTTTATGAGTCGTATCAAAGAAAATGAAAGTTCAGAATAGTTCACAGTCTGGGTGGTAAATGAGTCCAACAGAAACACACCTGTGGTGCAGGCCTATGGCGAAGATAAATGCGCAGATAAGCAAATCACGTGGTAAAGAAATGCCTTAGCTCACAGAATTTGAGAGTCTCTCATGTGTTACATCAACAAATTAGAAGTAAATAACAGTAACCATAAATGCATAGAGAAAATGTATACATTATATACAGGTAAATATATACAACATTAGCAGCTGACCAGAAAAACAATACAGTACGAGATTGTGCATAGATATAATTAGGGTGGGACAACTGGGTATATGATTTATTAGAATGACAGTTAATGATCGAGATATCTGAGGACCACAAGCGGCCGTTTTCTATTGCTGTCAGAATTATAATCATAATTTAGCAGTGGTATGGTGCTATTATTAACATTTGGCATAGTTTTGAAAAATTTATCTGCGAGACTAGCAAAGTAAGCATATAAAGTTGGTACTTAAAGCTCTTGGTGAATTGCCACGTTTCTGACGAACCATCGACAATTCGCGCTTGTCTGAGTAAGATATTCTGAAGTATTTGGAGTTTCTTTACATAAGACCAGCATATCTCCAAACAGGACAGGCATACGAGAGAATGGGATGCAGAAGGGTCCTTGTAAATGAGTTTGTCAATAGAAAGAACTGAGTTCCAGTCAATTAAAGGGGTAAGTGTTCATTTACAGACACAGCACTTGGTTATGATCTGTGTAACGTAGGGTCCAAGTGAGTCGCCTATCCAAGGTAACGGGCTTGCTTAGTCCACTAAATAGTGATGTCATACATGTGGATGCAGTCTTCATTATCGATGTTAGTCCTTTTAGTGAACCAAACGGCCTGATTTATCCACATGGATCTTTACTTTCCAGACGTTTAGCCAGGGCTCAAGTACATGGATGTGTCTTTGGAGAGCTTGTATAACTGGGCCAGGAGATGCATTTTTTAAGAGAATTGTCGTGTCATCGGCGTTCATAGCCAGGGTGGTGTGTGGTGATAGTGGGATATCATTCATGTAGGTATTATAGTAAATGGGCCCAAGGAGGCTTCCTTGCAGGACACCAGCTTTGATAGCCCGTGGCGTAGAGAGTGAATTGCTTACACGAACAATAAAGTGTCTATCCTTAATATAGGAAAAAGTGATGGCTGTGATGTACTCTGGAAAGCCCAAAGTGATAATTTTCTGCAAGAGGCCCTCTCAAGCCAAACACAGTCAAAGGCTTAAGTTACATCGAGGAAGATGGCACCTGTAGTCTGGTGGTCTTGAGAGATCAGCTCAGTGACCCTATACAGCTGAGTGCTTCTGACAAAACCCATGCTGCTGTGGCACAATGATGTTTTTAATTCAGTGTATGCAAGGATTCTCTGCAAGATGTTAAATTCTGCTACCTTGCTTAGTGATGATAATAGGCTGATGGGTCTGTAAGAAGATGGCTCCGGTGGTGGCTTTCCAGGCTTATACTATTATCCACAGTAATTAAAGTTAAATAAGAATTTTTAAAAGGCCTATGCAAAGTAAATTTAGATTTCTTATGTTTGATTTTTATTTATAATGGAAAACATTTCATCATTAATTGCAAAAAACATTTCAAGATGTTAAGCTATAATACAAAATCAAATAAACTATTTTCCTGCATGCAAAAATAACAGACTGGGAAGAATATTCATAAAAGACATTTTAAGCCTATTGAATCAAAAGATTAAACAAACATTAAATTACATAAACTAATCAAATGCAAAAATTAAAAAAGGAGAAAATAATTAACTTACAAGTACAGTTTCAGGATTTTCACATGAAGGGCACAAAACAAAACGCTTGATAAAGCCATCCAAAAGATCTTGAAGCTTAGCAGCTTCATGAGAGCCATTTACGATATAACGCTCATTTTTTAAATCGAATTGAGTCTGTGCTCCAAGTTCACATCCAAAGTATTTAGTGGGATCTAAAAAGGGAAGGAATATGAATGGTTATTTTAATAATTTTTCTTACACATTTAAATACTGTAATTTCCGGAAGAAAGGCCGCACTAGAGAAAAATTAAAATTACACAGAAACGCCGCAATAGATTAAATTGCGCATGACATCGTCATGGGGGTATAGATGCAAAAACTCAACTTAAGTCCTGATATATACCACCGTTAAGAAAAATGGATGAAATGAAACCTAACTAAAAAAATAAATTAAAGGTAAGAAATGTAGTTCTTGCGTTTAGAGACATTTTCAAAAATTTTCCGCCCCTTCTTACTTAAACTATCCACAAGTTGTACCCAACTATGGGATCTGTATTTGGAGAATGCAAAGAAAAATCCATTGCTGAAGGGGAAATATGTCAGAGTTCGTTATTGCGAGGCAGGTGGAATCGTGTCCGCCTTTGAAAAAAATTGCAGTCTGGTTTAGGGTGAATAAGGCATGTAGGTCCCTTCAAGGGAAAGAATGTAAATAAAAAAACGTTCGCAAAAAGGAGTGGTCTTTTGTGTGGGAATAGCAACAGTCTATGCACAATGACAAGGCCATCCAAACTATTTACAATGACCATCGTAGGAAATATTTAATTTTTAGTGTACCTAAACGCCACACCCACTGAAAATTTAAGTTTTAAACATGTAAACGCCGCGGCGTTTCTTCCGGAAATTATGGTAATATTTTTTATTCATGGTATTGAAAAGTATAAAAATTTAAATGAATCACAATTTCAGAAATTACAAGCATTTATATATTAAACTTGTAGAATTTCACACGAAGACATCCCACCTACCGCAATTCATAACCCTTTCACTGTTATTTTAAACACAATTTGTAATCAGGAAGCATTGCTTTTTTAACAAGTGAAAATTACCACCACCTAAGCAATGACTTTACACTAAGAATTTAGAAATTCCTTTTATCGGGGACCAGATTCAGAAATGTAAGTATATATATGTATACACAAGCATACATTTCTGAATACGGTCTCAAGTATACAAGAAAAATAACAAATTTAGGTTTATAAGTCTTTGGATGACTAGTGTCACATACATATGACTAATAAAATATTTAATCCACTTGCATATATATTCATTTTCCTAATAATTTTATATTACAATTGAAAAGCTTACCATCTTTCTGGTGCAGAAAACAATAATTCCTTCACCGAGTTAGAAAGCACTAAGCACTCAGCTTCACCGAGTTAAAAAGCACTAAGCACTCGGATATGAGCTTTTTTTTTTTTTTTGAAGTGCCCATTGCAGAGTTGAAACTTTTTTTTTTTTTTGAAGTGCCCATTGCAGAGTTGAAACTTTTTAAAGGAACTTCCATAAATAATAATTCACTAGTCAAATCTGTTCTTAATTATTTACAATCTGTACACATCAGCAACAATATCCCAACATTAATGCTCCATCCAGATCATTACGTATTCACTATGCTCACCACATTCTTGCGGTAAGTAATTAAAAATTCACAACGTAACAGCTAGTTTTGAAAATTCAATTAAATGCTAATCTACTTACAAGTTGGAGGTCTGTTCAAAGCCTTTGCTACTTCAACCATATTTACCACTACTGTTTTGATGCCATTGCCCTTTCCTTCCACCTGCAAGATAAAATTACGACTTTTTTAGAATTCTTAAAATCTTACTCTTTTACTACCACAGTGGGTAAAATATTACTTCAAAAATTATTAAAAGATACAGTATATATAGTTCTGTTTATTATTATTAAAAGATACAGTGTAATAGGTAATCATAGAATTCTGCTTATCTGTTAATATTAAAACATGCAAAAAATACAAATAAAATGTTTCATTACAAGATTTCTTCTAATAGATTTATAACCTTTTGAATAATACTATTTCTAACTCATATATGTTACAGGATTCGTACATAATAAAGGATTTTTAAAACTAATCAATGAAAAGAATCCAAGAAACTCTGAGCAAGTAAGAACTGAATAAATTAAAGCATTATAATTAAATAAAGCAAGTGACTTAACTCTTGCAATACACATGAAACAAAAATATATAGTATACATTATTAAATACACTGACATCAATGAATCTTAAAACAAATTTGTGAACAAAACCAAATAAAAAAAATTAAGTAACATTTCAAATTTATATCACCACTTTCAAAGCATTTAAAATATTCATTATAAGAAATGCTATGAAAATCATAATCAAAGGAAATTTGCAGTTTAAAGTAAGAACTGCATCACAATGCTTTTTATAAAGACAATAGAACAATAACAATTAACAGATACAAAACATCCATAACAAAATATTTATGAATCTTAAAATTTTTGCATATATTTTAGCTTATTTGCTTTTTATTTTCTCTAACAATGTTTTTAAGTTCACCTGCTTTAACAAGCAAATTAACATTCTTACTAGTCAGATTCTGGTCTGTTAAATTTTTGTTACTACCTTAAAAAATTGTCCCCTTAATTTTTCAGATTTAATTAAAAGATTTTTATTGCTCTGAAAAATTACTATTTAGAAGATGAAGAAGCTACTAATTTTATCAATAATTTCAATATTGAGAATAAATACATAAGAACATGAAATAACACGTATTGAGGAACACAAAATGAATCATTCTATACATGCTTTTCCACCTGATCAAATTCGTTCTTTGACATTTTCCATATTATGAAATTCAAACAAATTTCCTTTAAAAACTTCTTGATTTCTGGTGAAAGACCATAAAATGGTGGTAGGAGAAATTAACTATTTTTAGCTGCATTTTCTAAAAAAGTCACTAAACAAATAAGAGAATTTTATTGTAATCTTCCATACTTCCCAGCTTTGTGAAAACAAAATTCAGAGAAAAGCTTGAAAGTGAATTTCACAAGACTGTCGCATGTCTGAATATTTTGGAACAATTACACGGAAAAGAACTCCTATGATAAAAAATGGAAAATTAAAAAGAAATTAGTTATGTATTAACGCAACCACCTTGGTGCTGCCTACCATTTTTTACAAAAGAAAAATAAGTGAATTTTCGGATTGCAAACTTAACAATCCATACCCGAAGACCTGGTTACACGGTTAACTTAAAGAGCTGTTAAGCACATGGCTCCCAGAGTTTGGAGACTTTAAGGTGGTTATGATAATATGCAAGTACCTGAAATTATTTTAATATAATCAGTTTTGTTTTCCTTGCTTATCCTGAAAAGTAATTCTGAAATTGTGAGCGCAAGTGGTTAAATTCCCATTCCAAAAAGATAACTTTTCGATGCAATAAAAAGAATGAATTCACACAGTAATCCAAATTCAGACAGGAGTACAATGCTTTAAACACAGATTTGAAAATAAACTGTCAAACTAGTACCATATTTGGACCTTTTATTAAAATTTTTTATAAAATCTGAAAAAATTATTAAATGCAGATTTCTTCTCTGAAGGCACACTTTTACTTGTAAAATGTTCTGGTCACAGTTTTTTTTTGGGGGGGGGGGAATTTAGCTATTAACTTTGGGTCCACACACATTGTCTATAATTGGCTCAAATCTTCCAAAGTGCAAAGACACTAGACAAAAATTACTTCAGAAGCCAACAAATTTTTACTTCTCCGATGAAAGCTTGGATAATCCTTATTGTTCCTCATGGGCTGAAGCCAGGACAGATGAACTCTATACCTAGATGAGCCCTTTCCAGTTAATTCCAACAGCTGCAAATATTTCCCGAATATCCTTACCCCTTTTTGATGTATCCTATTTATGATTTTTGTCAACACCCTTCAAAAACTTCTGGATTTACTGTTAACAATCGGAAATGCGACCTTTATAAAGTCGTAAATTTTAACCTTCTCGAGGATCATTCCTTTGTCACTGTAGACTAAACTTTAACAACACGGAACAACTATTCTTAATAACAATATCTGTTGAACATCCAGATACTAAATTTGTTTTGAGGGTGGATGATTAACTCTACAATGTTTAAATTCCATGTTTAGCCAAAATGTTAATTAACTTAGAATGGCAGCAACAGAAAAAGGGACAGAAATGTTGATGTGACCAAAATTAAATTTTCTACAACTTCTGGACAAAACTAAGGACCCAAAAACTTTCTCAAAATATAAAGGGCTTTTCACATTGGGGTTTATTTAAGCTAACACAGACAGCTGACGTAGCCAACCAATCTCCAAAACCACTTTCCCTCCCCATAGGGCAGCAAGTTGAAAAATCTGAAGTGCAGGCATAGCAAAGCTAGTCGACACATGGAACTGACTCTGTTAGCCCAGATAAACCCCAGTGTTAATGGCCAAAGTGGACTTTTTAAAGGCATTTGAACAGGAACAAATTACTGATACATGGCAATAAGAACTTGCATGATTTTTCATTAAAACTAACAAAAATACCCTTTTTCCCCTGTAGAAATTTAACACTCATTAAATTTTAAGTAAAGCATACAAACTTGTATGCCTAATTTTTTACATCTGGCTTAGTACTGTAAAATACAAAGAATTTTTTACCAGACATGAAATATACAGTTTCATTCTATATTAATATTTACTGCCTTGTATTCACAAAAATTTCTATTCATGTATAAAGTTCAACAAATAATGATTTGAGCAAAGTTTTCACTACTATGGACACTCATATAAGTTTCTAGCATTCAGTTTATAAACCAAAGTTTCATGTTTCTGTTTATTACAGACATATGCATTCAATTTTTCCAAAAAGAGTAATTCTTATACAAAAACTTCACATTAAGTTCCAACTGAATTTAAATAAAAATTACATACAATTATTAATATTTACGCCATAAATAAACGAAAACATTTTATTACCCACACACAAGAAAAAAAGAACACTCGCATTTGCAACTTTGCAACAAAACATCCGGAACACTGATAAGTTAAATCAGGATTAAAATATAAAGCAGGCAACGGAAGCATGAATATGGTACATGCTATGAAAGGTTGGTTATCATAGCACAAACATTTAAAAACATACGAAAAATAAAAAGGCAATTCTGTTACACGACCACAGATAACCCATGCATTAAAAGAAGGATATATCAAATCCCCCCTCTCCAATTTTCTGAAAGACCTCAAATTCTAAATGCTTATCAAATTTTAGTCCATCCTCCATAAGAATAACTTAAAAATCAGGTTACTTGTCCAAATAAAAATGAAAAAATTTTTTGATTCAGGTTTGGAATTTAATACTTATTTTAAATTCCTCTAACATTAAGATGATTATGGCCTAAGATATTTTCTGACCATTCTGTTTATTACTTCAAACATTTTTTTTAAATTTTATAATTTGAATTATCAGTTTTAAATCCAGAATTCTGCCATTAAATTAATGCTTTTTAGGCAATACAACCAAAAAACATTTACTGCTGAAAGTTTTATTTTATGTAATCTAATGCAACTTACTTGACAAAGCATTCATATACGAGATCTATGTAATTTAAAATATTTAAAAAAATAACATAAAATCAGCCACATCTTGGCATTTTGAAACTCAATACATTTGGACAGAACTTAGCTATAATAAAAGCTGTAGCATAGCAGAATCATTCAGGCTAATTTTTCAATAAAAACATTTAGATTTACTACAAACCTGTACATTACAGATAATTTACTCAGTATGTGTAAAATTTAAAAAATCTTTTTAAAGCACATAAATTACTTTAGGAAGGAGTGAATGAAGATGGTTATGAAAAAGGTAATAACTAAGTACATTTCTAAAAAGTTACCTTGGCAAGAAGCTTTGGCATCTTATAGCGGTAAAATTGGTCTGAAAGACTACGATTGACATTGATGTTACTCATGGTTAAAATTGAAATTCACAAGTGGAGGGATCAGAAAGTTTTTAAAGATGTGGGTGGAAAAAGAATTGCAAGAAACTGGCCTGCCACGTTCCCTGCCTGTTGTAGAAAACAGAATGACGGGAGATGAGGCTGAGGAGACGAAAAGTCACGACCTGAAGGGCCGTAATTTTTGATGGTTACAAAGCACCCTAAAAAAAGTAAAACAAATCTGGCATATAATAGTTATAAAGTAACACTTTTAAATAGCAGTATTTAAGGACAGTGGTATAATTTAACTTTTATCATACTAGCTCAATTTTTCCTCCTACGTGAGAAAATTTTGTTAACAGTACATAACTGTAAAAACTTTCCTATTAAGTTTATAGTTAAAAAAATATACACTGAACACAAAAATGATATTCCAATACCTAGAATCAACAACTACAATAAATTACAAAAGAAAATTCTGAAGAATATGTATGATTTGTTAAATACAAATAAAAGTTAACCCATTAACGAGCCCGCTTCTTGGAACGAAATGCTTTGAAAATGGCCATGTTGTCAGTCAACAAATCCCTCAAAAAAAAAAAAAAAAAAAAAAAAAACTTTCGTTTTCTGAAATCTCTCTAAGATGGCCTAGCCTAGGGCAGTATGTTTGCTTCCCCTTAGTGTTTGAGTGTTTAAAAGTTTGAGGATAAAGCCATAAAATTGCCTCTCCACTATTGAATGTCAAGAAGTACTTACTTGTTACGTTTAGCTTTGTCTCCCTCCTCTTTCTTTGTACTTGTAGACTTGTTTCTTTTAATATGTGACGTCCGAATTTTCCGAAATCTTTTTAGAAATTTAGCTTCCAAGCTTGTAAATTTTCAACTATTCGACATGTTTTATTGTGGAGTATTTTAAAAAAGATCATTATTTTGTTACACAATTTTTTTTATTTAGTTTTAGTAGGCCAATTTATTTTGGGAAATTAAATTTTAATCCATTCTTTTACCGAATCTGTTTTCATCACATTATAAGTCCATATATATTTACGATGAGAGTACAATATTTATCAGGAATTTTTGGAAAATTTGGCATACGTATTTATATTTTAGCGTTGAATTTTTTCCACAAGTTGTTCGTTAACAGTCGAGCTCATCCTCGTAAACGCTTGATCTTTTCAGCATGGAATTGGCAAGCAATAATCTTCCTAATATTTTTCGGGATTTTATAGCAATTTCTAGAATTTTGGCGGTTTTCTACAAATATTTTGGTAAGTTTAGCTATTATACAGTTGCTACTAATGTGGAATTTAAAACCAAAAATGTATTCCTTCGTTGATTTGAGAGAGAGCATTTCGAATTTAAACGGAAGTTGTTGGATGGATTTTTCTCACTTTTCCGCATTTTATACATTACATGTATAAAGCAGACACGCACAAAAATCCTTTTTGATTCTTACGGTTTCAGTTAAAGGAATCGTAAAAAATATATTATTTTAACTTTCTAAATGTATTTGCTCGTTTATGTATAAATTTAAAATCATGGAACTTACAAATTATATGACTAAATTGCAGTATTTAAGATAACTGAAATTATAGTACTGAAATGACATAGAATATAAGGATAATTATAGTCAATTTAAATAAATTTCTATTCTATTGTAGTCTATTTAAATAAATTTATACTTTCATTTAAAATTTGTCATTATTAGTACCTCTACAATCATAGGAATTTTCGAATTCTAATAGGTTCTTTTGTAAAACTGAAGCGTATTCAAAGCTTAGATCCTCCTAATTTTCCCCTCGGGTTATTTGGGACAGGAATGAAGCATAAAGCCTCCAACTTGTGTTCTGTAAAAACATTATGCCATATCCCTGACTTATTCTATGACTGAGGTGTTTGTATGAAACAAAAATTAAGGATTAGAGTTTCTACCACATTTCAGCAAGATAGCCTTTCCTATTAATCTAGATATTACAATATAAAGCAATAAATATTTCTAGGGAACCCTACAATAACATTTAATTTTCATCTTATGCTTCTTATAACCACATTTATAAATACAGAAGTTTACTATAAGATTATAGTTCCATTAAATATTTGAAATTAATTTCTGTGGAAATAAACTATATATTGAAAAATGTTTCTGTGAACTGATTGAGTGTGTAAAGTATTATTACATTTGGTCAGATATAAAATAAAGGCACTTATTTCTGCTACAACTAAAATTATTATACTTATTACTCAAAATTGTTCTATTTAATTTAGCAAGTAATATTGTATCCTCAAAATTTGTTATAAGAATGAAATACCTTTTACCAAGTTGGATGTCAATTACGTCAAATTATATGCATTTTTGTTTTATTTATTGGTTATTAATAACAATGCTTCATCTTAAAATAGTTCAGTCTTTGATTCATGTCTAATTGCTTCAAAAGAAATGCACAATATTGTCATTCAGGTTGAATAATTGTTAAAAATTTCACAAATGTCAAATTTGTTAATACTACCTTTAAATTTTTAAATTCTAAATTATAACTGCGTTTTAACTTTCACAAGGATTGCTGAGGTTTATCTATGAAATGAAATGATCAAAACATTTTAATGAAATGATTTTTGAGTTTCTTTCCCTGCTAATATAAGTTAATATACAACTTTAATGTACATTACAAATGATATTTCTGTTTGAAAAACTAGTGACACTAAACTTCTAGAAACTAGAGACTAGACTATGTTTTAATGTTACATGCAAACTTCTTTCCATCACATTCACGAAATATTAAATTTTGAACGTTCCAGAGAAAGTTAATATGGGAACATTATGCGTTTATAATAGAGAAGCTTATTGTCCGCATCAAGTTTCAGTTCACGGATATGAAAACTCTCCAACACGTAAATAAATAGTGGAAAAAATAAAAATTCATGTAGATTTTATCTAAAGTAGCATCGATTGATCGATGTGTATTTTTTGCATTGAAGAGGGGAAAAAAGAAAACTGCAGTTTTTGACACCATTAGGAATCATACATTTAAAAAAAGGAGATTCTTCTGTCTAGTAGAAAAGGTTATGCTATTAGAATATGACAGAGTAGATGAGAGCTATTTGCATAAGGTGAGGAATGCTTTCGTGAAGGATTTTCGTAGGAAAACTGACTCGTATTCACATTCCACAGGTGGAAAACCACAAAAACAAATCATGCACTCAACATTTTCGCCTGGGATCGAATACCGTTTGAACTACCAGTATTCGGCTGCCACAGGTAGGACCTTTACACTTACAAAGAGCCTTTTGCTTAAGAACTGTTTATCATCTTTCTTTCCCCGATATTAGTTTTTTGTCGTTATTAGGGGACGTAGTTTGATTTCAATGAATAAAGGCAAAGCAGACAAAGCCTCTCAACCTGAAAGATAAAATGCCTTCAGGTAGGATTTATAGGAAACTGGTTCGCGTTCGTTTCATGCATCCAAATTTTGTTTATGTTTCTTTCATTTAGCTCAAAACATACGAGTAATCTCTATTTTAAGAAAAGAATGTTTTGGGGGGAGTACTTTGGAAGGGTAAATTACTTATATTAATGTTACACATGGGGGGAAATGACGAAAAGAACCCATAAAAACCTGCATAAAAGAACGAGAAAATATGGATCAAACCGTTAAATCTTAAGTATTATACTTAAAAACATTCTTTATCTTGTTAAAAAGTCTTCATGCAAGCCTTGCATATAAAATACATGAAACACTATACAGTTTAAATTCAGCCATGTTAAAACATTTTATGTTTTAAGTACATTTTAAAAAATTTAATATTTTAAATAAAAGTCACATACCTTACTGCTTGCCAATTGATGTCCCACTGCTTTCGGCAATGCATAAACCTTTGTAAACCTATTGTCGTCAAACTAGATGACACAAATGACTCTTCCTGATAGTGAGCTGGATTTCCACGACCTAAGTGTTCTAAAAACGATTTTTTGTTAAAACAATACCAAATATGCATTTCTTAACTTATTACTATTTAAACATACAAGAGCAGCCTAAATTACACTAATCAATAAATTCATATTTTATCACATAAAAAGGTGAAACGTTTAAGACTATTCCCGATCTCAATTTTAATTACTTATGGAGAATACGGGTTCTTGAAGAATTTACCGAAGATAGCCAAAATGTGATTCAAGAAAATTTTCTGGCGTGACAAAATTTTTTTGGACTCGTAAAAAAAAAATTATTTGCTACACCCATTATTTCACATTAATTTAAATCAGAGAATATCTGTTAATAATATAGGTTCATTTCATTACATTTAAGAAATATTTTTTTAAAGCATCATATGCTCATAGATTGCTATGCATTACAATTATATGCAGTAAACAGTGCGACTACAACACAAAATACCGGTGAAACAGCAAATTGTTACCAGCACAGATTTACAAATGCGATTTTGCAGGTAAACATTAATTTGTCCATGTGGTATCAAGGATAACTAGAAAGGGCTAAGTCATTCCTTTGTTCGACTCCTCACCAACGCGAGCCTAGTGGGGAAGTTTAACCAGCAATAATTTGAAGTCACTGTGATGCACCTGCTCTGAATTCGCCCGTTTAGAGCTGTACTTTCATTGGGCAGCGAGGCAATTTTCTGGAAGTCACATATTTCAAATTAATTTTAATCATACATATTTGTTTTCTAACAATGTGAATATCAAAAATAATTTGTATATATAGGTTTACTCAGTTTTCCTTTAATAGTATATATTGTAAGGTATCATTTATGTAATGGCTTTTTGCGCTGTAGCGATGTGCTCTAATACTTATAGAAATGTGAAAGGAAGAAATATTGCAGCTAATCTTTGGAATATGGTAACAGGTAGTTTGGCGACATTTTGGTAAGAAGATAAAGGTTACTAGCTAGGACTTTAGCAGTGTACATGGATAAAGTCAAGAGTGTGCGCAATGCCATTTTTGTGCAATTCCGAGATGTTTTTAAAGTGAAAATAGGTCGACGTGTTTGATACCGTGTATGTGCAATTCTTAAAAACGCGGCAAGCAGTGGGCGATTCTGCACTTTCTCCCAATTTTGCACCTAATCTTTGTCATGGTTAAGCACTTTTGTTCCATAAAAGTTCTAGCATAAGCATAATTCGGCTAGCAGATAGTTGAAAAAAAATGTTGAGTTAAAAAAAAAAAAACATGCCTTTACTTCATGAAAACAAAATGGCATCAAAAAAAAAAAAAAATATATAGCAGGTTGCTGTAGCAGGGTTGGTCGCCAAATTTCCATAATCCAAAGATTAACCAATATAGCATTTCATGCTTCCCCAAACAATTTGCTTTTGATGAAAAAATGAATACATAAATGTCAGAGGCAGAATTCTGTTAATGTGAAAAACGCAAGGATTTGCAGCGAATATTTTATGTGCAGTTATTATGAAGATGACATGAGAAATTGCTTGCTTGGATTGCAGCAAAAAAAACTGTTGAAATGCAATGCTGTGCCAAAAGTAAATTTATTGTGTGCAGTAAGTGAAATAACACCAAGAAATCGGAAACATTTGAAAAGAAAACTAATGCAGAGTGCTTTTGAAAGACTGCATGGTGGTGTATTTAATTATGGCAAAGCACACGAGGGCTATCTGCCTAAAGGGAGGGATGCCTTCGTGGAGGACTTTCTAAGGGAAACTGGCTCGTATACACGTACACATGGGAAAAACCACGAAAACGCCCATGCAGCCCTTCGCGGGATGCCCGCCGAGGCCGGCCGTGAAACAAAATTGAAGCTGACAGTAATAAATCAAATGTGAATTATTTTGAAATAAAACTCGCAAATGACAATATCCCTGAACAGCCTAAGTGTAAAGATAAACAAAAATGCATTGATAATTTGAAGAACAAAATAATATCCCTAGAAAATTGTAATGAAATATTTTAGAATGTTTGCTCAGCGACAAAGAAGGTGGACGACATCTTGAAAGAAATTTGTAGCGGAAATTCAGAAATTAAAATCCCAAATAGTGAAATTCAGAAAAAACAGCACATATTGGAGAATTTAGAAAAACGTCTAAAGCATATTTTGTTAAGTTATTCTTAGTTATTTTTATTGTATCCTGTGTTATTATTAACCCGAAAGCTTAGCATTTTAAATAAAATATAATAGTATAACATTAAACATTCGGTTTTGAGGGAAAAAAAAAAAAAAAGCGCCAAACTATTGTTGATGCCAGTGTTAGCAAAAATAATCACGGCAACCCTAATGCAAAAAAGGAAGTATAATAGTAAATAAATAAGATTGTTTTAATTTAGATGAAAGGTTAATTTCATATAATACTTTATTATAATTTATATAAAAAAGGCTAAAGACGACTGAATGGAAGCATAGGAGTAAATAACTTTTAGATCATTATTATTATTTATATAAAAATTGCTAAACATAACTGAATGGATGCCTGCATTGCTATTGCACTACCGATTTATCGCTAAAGCATGGTTTCATCTCGTTCGTTGTTCAAACATAATTTTCTATAACGAATGATGCCTTTTCTTTGAAAAAATTCTCGGTAAAGTGCAGAATCGCCCACTTATTTGTTTGCCGCTTTTTACAAGAGTAAAAACAATTGGATTTTTGCCTTTTCCTCTACTTTTTAAGCGAAAATAGGTCGATGTGTACATAGATAAGTTCAAGGGTGTGCACAGTGCCATTTTTGTGCAATCCTGGGATTTTTTTTTAAGTGAAAATAGGTTGATGTGTACATGGATACAGAGTATGTGCAATTCTTAAAAACGCATCAAGCAGTGGCTGATTCTGCACTTTACCAAAATTCTATTGCAGACTTTTAGTCATGGGCAATTCTCAAATTGTAAAATCCATAGGATATCAAAAAATGATTTAAAATTAAACTAATATTGTCAATGGCGTCTTAAGAAATATAGAACTATATAAACTTACGCAATCTGAAATCAGCACGTACGCTAGGATATGATGCAGTTAAATGGACGTGTTTGCTAGATTTGGTGCTTTTGAGCATACATTTTCGATGCAATTTTTTACGGTCCTCAAAACGGAATAGTACCCATTAAAGTAATTGGCATAAGTACACCTGCCTCCTTAACCCCCCCACTTCTGAAAAATTAAATAATTTTTTTTAGGTAATGCGAGCAAAGTTGTTTTGTCTAAATTAAGATAACAATCTTACATGTATTTATTTAAATTTAATCTTGATATAAGCCTAAGTTACAAAATTAATTAAAAAATATGCCGATGTAAAATTTACAATTAGGCTGAAACTCAAACTTAGATTAGCGGAAATTTTGCCATATGTAACTAACTATACATGCTTAAAACTGCGAATTTAAGGTTTTTTTTAATTAATTTTAAATAGCTGTTATTATAATTTTATAGAAGCAGTAGCAGAGTTCTCTTAGTTAAACATCCAGATAAAAAATGATTAAAAATAAAGAGGTATTTAAAGGGGGAAAAATCCTACAAATTAAAAAAAAAAAAAAGTATTTTAAGCTAAGAGTAGCACATTTTATCTGTTATTTTAAAATTGAGTAAGTACTATTAGATTTTTTAATGCTCAGTGTAAAATGCATACTGCAGTAACATTGTATCTTCCCAATAATAGCTATCTTTCACACACCGCTCATTTTAAATGCTGGTTCTTCAAATTTAAAACGCTAATTTCTGTGTTGTGAATTGCATCTCCACGCTCAGCGTCATCATGACTACATAATCACTTCCCACTGCCTGTTTCAGGGATAAAAGCTCTATGAGCTAGCCCTTCTCTTTAAAATTCTTTACTTTTACTTTTTAAGTGGCAATAGGTCGACATGTACATGGATAAAGTCAAAGGAGTGCGCAATGACATTTTTGTGCAATTTGAGGATTTTTTTTTTAAAAGTGAAAATAAGTCGATGTGTACATGGATATAGAGTTTGTGCAATTGTTTGTCTCGTTATTTTGGCTTTGTGTAGCGGCGATCGTCGCTTCGCAAGCCAAAATAACGAGTGAAAGAATTTCGCAAAATTGTTATCCATGTACCACCAAAAATCGCCAAGGGATATTCCTAAACTATACTTTTACCAAAGAATTTGCACAATTTTTTCAATATCATAAATTTCATCTATTGCTGGGAATCATTTTTCTTATTAAAGAGCAAAAAATAAAAAAACGTTTGCAAAGCAGATTCCATGAAGCTTATACGGAAATGAAGTAGCAAAATACCATTCCCACATTAAAAGCGAGAGAATAAAACAAAGATTACACCCTCCAAACACCACAGCTGAATCATGATGTTTGCTGATATGGTCAAAAGACTCATCATTTTTTAAACCATTTCCTGATAAACTATCAAATTCTAATTTTGTGCATACACTGTAACAATACAATGTGGTAAAGACATTTTTCCAGAATTCAATTTAGATCTTGGATACTTTCCAGTTATCTACAATCCTACCTTATAAAGTCGTAAAAATATTCAAGAGGCAAAACAATATGGTAGAAAATATTACCGACAAGTCGAGATGTTGCCATATTTATATGACCAACATATATGTGCTTTGAATATATGAATACATATATGTGCTTTGGCCAATGTGTCCAATGTTTAGTAAAAACAGCTGTGTAACGTGCCAAAAAATTAACAGGTGAGCATTTTATTACCACTGTTTTCAAAACAGCTACTGCCTTTTCCGTATTAGTTTGGCAAAAATATCAACCACTGACGAGTTCAGATCTTTTCAGTAGGGAACTGAGGACAATCAGAAAGTATCACATTTTCTGTAGTTTAATTCTGAAAGACTTTGTAAGCTCCATATCTTTGAATTTCACCTTTTGCACCATCAAATATAAAGGAAAAAATGTTTAAAATATTCAACATTTGCAAAAAACATTGAAAGATACAGCTTTGTCAACCATTATTTTTAAATTTCAAAATAAAATATATTAGGCACAAAGTTTTAAAACTTTCAGATTATGAAACTCTGATCTTTTCTTCTAAAGCAGAAATAATTATTATGAATACCCTTCCATGATGCAAATAAAGGAAATACCAGTTTTGCTGTTTCTCCTTCCTTTTTTAAAATTTCACATTTACAATTTTTTCCTACTTTCATAAGTATTCATTTCGGTACTTTTCCGTTTTGCCAGCACAGACCTTTTAAGTCTCATTTTCAAAACAAGGTCATAGCCATTTCACTGGCATTCGGTCACAGAATTTTTAACAGTTTAGTTTTATGCAATAAGGCCATTATTCACGATAAGTCAATTAGGATGCAATTACACCGGTCACCCGAAGGCAAAGTCAAGGGTTAAATTCATCAATATGAGAATGCACCAGCGAAGTAAAGCACTGCAGTTTTACACAATTTCTGAGTAAGCTATTCATACAAATTGAAATAATTCTTGCATTTAAATTTGTATTCCAAATTAAGATTTAACTTGAAATTAATGTAGATAATTACCGAGAGAATTAAGATTTTTGTAGTGTAGTTTATGCGAGATCAGATCACTTGGGGGCACGTGATATGAACTGGCGAATCAGGATGTTGTACCATGAAAGCTTAGTAAATTCTTAAATTAACGTCTTTTTACAAAATTTTAAATATTTTTTATATGTATTAAAATGCTTGTCTTCAAAATAAAAAAACTCTTGGCGAAATTTGTGCCGGCAAAAACCACTTTCTTTAGCAAGTACTTAAACAGATTTGACAATCTACCTACAAGGTTAATAATGAAAAGTCTGACAGGAGCTATAGCTATCACTACAATATATATCAGCTATTTCTTTTTTCTAGATCTTCGATGATATTTTAGTTTTGTACACTCTTACTACCTACTCGCATTACATCAAATATCAATTTTTTCCCTTTGCTTTTCCTGCAGAATTTGGTGACAGTCAACACAAGAGCTATTCCAAAGCTCATGATATATATTATAGTCTTAGCAAAATCTCCTTTTCTACCTATGCAATGAAACACAGCAAATCTTTTCCACAAGTAAGATTAATGGTAATAAAATATAGAATAAACTACACACAAATACTGAAGAATTTCAATTTAAATTATTAACACGGATGCAGCTAGCATAATGCATTTTAAAAATAGTTCTGAATTCAGGTAAACTTCACTTCCACACAATACACATAAAAAATCATAAATTAGTGGTAAAGGAGGATTTCTACAAGCCATGTATCAATGTCAGCTCTTTCTACAATTCTTCAATGATTTCAGGTTAACTTTCTACATTTATTTCATATACATCAAATAATACAAACTCAATATAACAAAAAATCGATGCATATATTATGATAACATGATTAGCAAGATTTCTGATTTTCAGACATTTGTCAAAACCTGACAACTAAAGCTCATAGGAGTTTTTAAGGGTACTCTTCTGTTTCCAGGACGAGATTCAGAAATGTATGTAATGTAGCAAGCATGTGTATATATAGTGCACACAGAAAAAAAAGTCAGTTCTATATCTCCCCGTTCTACTGGGCCCATTCATATCTCAAAAGTACAACTTTGGATATGTACTAATTTATATGTAGCATTGCTTTAATAATAAAGTTAGGTTCATTCGAAACAAAATTCGCCTATTTTTTATGATTTATTCCTAAAATTTGTATTTTTAAATAATTTTTCGAATTATAAACTAAAAAAATTTTACCATCATCTTAAAGAAGATGTATTTCTAAGCATACCTGAAAAAATTAAAAAGCTTTTTTTGTTCAACATTTTCCAAGATATACATGAATTGACATATTGACACAGTTTGAAATTTTTCATATTTGTTGAAAGCAATTTAGGCACTTTCAACAAATATGCAATAAGCGAATTTAAAAATTAACGGGAAAGGAAAATAGGTTGCGATATATTAAGAAGTTAGCTAAGGGAATTATTCTTGGCACAAACTGAAAAAAATCCGCCAAGTTAAATTTTCGGTTAATCTTTGGAATATGGTAACAGGTGGTTTGGTGACATTTTGTTAAGGCAATAAAGGTTACTAGCTAGGGCTTTAGCAATAATCTGAGAAGTACACAGTTTGAATCACAGATTATTTTGTCTGGGAGATATGAGAGATCATGAGACATGTCATGTGACATTTTCCAGAAAATTCAAATCGGGATTTTAGCTAATAAGCACTTAGAAACAATTTTGCTGCTAAAGTGCAGAATCGCTCACTTATTTGTTAGGTACTTTTTACAAGAGTAAGAAGAATTGAATTTTTGTCAATTTTCTTTGACTTTTTAAGTGAAAATAGGTCAATGTGTACACGGATAATGTCAAGAGTGCGCAATGCCATTTTTGTGCAATTCTGGGAGTTTCTTTTTAAAAAGTGAAAATAGGCCGATGTGTACATGGATAGCGTGTATATGCAATTCTTAACAAGGCAAGCAGTGTACGATTCCACACTTTCTCACAATTTCACACCTAATCTTCCGTCATGATTAAGCATTTTTGTTCCATTTAAGTTCTAGCATAAGCGTAATTCGGCTAGCAGATTGTTGGAAAAAAGGTTGAGTTAAAAATATGCCTTTACTTCGTAAAAACAAAATGGCGTCCCCCCCAAAAAAACTAGCAGTTTGGTATAGCAGGGTTGGTCGCCAAAGTTTCGCCAAGTTACCATAATCCAAAGATTCACCAAATTTTTCTGTAAATTTCGCACCAAATTTTACAAAATTTAATATTTAGACATAATATGAGTCATAGAATCGAAATATGGAAAAAGTTGGACTTCCGAAGAAGTTGGATTATGTGTCATATATTAGAACAATGCTATATATAAATTCACTATACAACATAAGTTGTGTTTTCGAGAAGTGAAAAACTCAATTTCGTTAATCGGCCCACTAGAACGGGATATGCACAACTGTCCTCCCTTCTTTTTGGCACTGTGTACATGTATATACAAAGACATTTCCGAATCCAATCCTGAAAAACTGGAGTATTTTCTTTAGGTAACCATATCCATTGCAATCTGAAAATTCACCGAATCAGCAGTTTTTTCTGTAAAAAAACAGCTAAACTGTACAAAGGTAGTTGTACCAACAAATCAATTAAAACAACTTGACTGCTGTTAATGATAAATATAAATAAATATACTTTAAAATTCCATTTTATATACCAGGGCATGTTCATAAGATTTTTCTCTATTCAAAGTATCCACTACTAAAAATTATTAAATGACGGCCACACACACAAAACAAAAAGGGAGGCTGCTCTGAACTTATTCCAAATTTTCTATAATTATAATATTTAAATCATTTTCTGAAGTTTCAAATATTTATTGTAAGTATTTAACAATTCTATTCTTCTAAATAACAAAGCATTAATAAAATTCCAAATCTAGTTAAATTAATTAAATTAATATGAATACAATTTAAAGTGCATTTAATAGACTGACAGAAAGGGGGAAATATGGGGTGGAAGAGGTAGGGGGGCAAGCAAAATATGAACCAATGCAAAGAAAAAAATTCACAAAAATATTTTAGGTAAAAGAAAACACTCCGTAACGCGTTCAAAACAGCAAAAAATCCCAACAAGTTTATACACAAAAGTTTAAAGTGCGAAATCAAATGAGAAGCATATGTAGAATTACTACCTATTAAAAATGTTTTGTTATTTCACTAATTTTATTACAAGCACTATTGTAATTTCGGAGATAAATATGAAAACCTACATCATTCGATACAATTTCATTTCTTCACAACTATGATTTGGTAATTGGCAACAATGTTTTCAAATTTGCGAACTTTAATAATACATTTTAACAAGAATATTTTTTTATGCCCTCAAACTATTTCATTAGGGAAAATACTAGTTCGACAGTAACAGGAAAAGATGGAACGTCAGCATATGCTACTTGAATGATCCACAATTATTCGAAACCTGCCGCAATTTCAGTATTTAAATCGTAAGAAATGATGAAATAAAACCTTGCAAAAACAGTTGCCTTTAACAGAAAATTCTAAAAAGCATTACTTTAAGTTAATAATTGCGGTACTGCCCACGTGTCATCATTAGGGCAAAAGTGAAACCTTATCAAAATACAAAAATAAAAAAGGAGGTAGCCATTTTTTCCAAAAAATTGGAAACTGCGAAATCTGCACCATTTAATACAATATTCGGTTAAAAATGAACTTAATCCATCTTACCGATCAAACAAAATAAAGACGTCATATAAAACTGTGAATCTACGCAATTTATCGATAAAATAACAGGAGTAGATATGGCGTCAACTGCACTATTGCAGTGTTGTCCCTAAGGAAAGAAAAAAAATATATATTAGACGAAACAAAATTAACGACAAAATATGATTAAGGTCAATATTCAATATTACATTTATAAGTAAAACACCAATTAACAGGATTTTCAGAGAAAACTACCCAATTATACACCGGGAAAAATCGCCCTACTCACCCCTTTAATGGAGAAAATTGAACTGAGAAAATTCCTACGCAGTAGGTGGAGCGCAGCCTCGTGAATAAATATGTAATGCCAGATTTCTAAATAACTTATATTTTGTAACACAATACGGCATTTCGTATCACATTTCAAGATGGTTTACTTTTTATATGTGCATTTATATTGTAAATAAATTTCCTGAGATCTTTTAATTAACTGTAAAATTTCCTGCCCTAATCATCTCTTAGAAAATCAGTTTGCATGCAGAATAGTGAAATATAGTCAAAAAAGGAACGACAAGCAAAACGCGAAACTTAAAAAACGTTGTTCTTAAGAACAGAATTAAAGAATTACTCCACTTATGTAAAATATTCAAACTGTATTCTTTTTTTTTTTTTTTTTTTTTTTTTTTTTTTTTTTTTTTTGCAAAAAAATACTTTAAAAATGATTATCCAATTTGTCCAACTTTCAACAAAAGTAGACAATTTCTCTTTTCCAAAAAGGAATAATGGATAAAATCTACAACTTAGATTTTTAGCAAATTAACTTAAAGTTGATAAGATTTAATTATGAGTTAATAAAATATTTAATGTTCAGTTCATAATCTCCACAGCGTACACAGACACTTATAAAGATCGGCGCTTTGCCTATTATTTCCTGTTTTTCCCCATTTTCTCCTGGGGAATATCTGGAAAGTCTCAAATCCTTCAGGTGGTTATGAGCTTGAAGAAAGGCTAAGTTCCAAGTATTTTCTATTCAGAATCAGTGCTTAAATTGCACCGGAGCCCGGCTCCGGGGGGGGGGGGGGGGGGGGGGGGGGGGGCGGGGGGGGGGGGTGGGGGGGGGGGGGGGGGGGGGGGGGGGTCAGGGGGGGGGGGGGGGGGGGGGGGGGGGGGGGGGGGGGGGGGGGGGGGGGGGGGGGGGGGGGTGGGGGGGGGGGGGGGGGGGGGGGGGGGGGGGGGGGGGGGGGGGGGGGGGGGGGGGGGGGGGGGGGGGGGGGACAGTTTTAAAGGTAAATTACAATTTTAACCGGAACGCACCGGAGCCCTAAATAAGATGAGCTCCGGTACTTCTTTTTATAAAACTGAACCACAATTTAAAGGGAAAAAAATTTAGACTTCCTAACGTTTTAGTTTAACAATAAGCAAACTTTGTAATACTCTATTTCCCTAGAAATACGAACTCATGAGAACATTAGACGTTCAAGTAAAGTCCCCTCACTCACATGCAGAAACCAAGCGGAAGAAAAGCAATAAATTTGGGGGAGTTTGTTTAGGAACGCCTAAATTTCTCGTCATGCCATTGTATCTAGTGTATTGTTACCGATGCTTACAGTTAGTTATCCTCGCAGGAAGGAAAATTTGTGTTCTTAAATGTTCGTTAATTGACAGCGAATACAATAAGAGTGAAATAAACTGCTCAAGCACGTAAAGTAAGTCAAGTAAGTGAGATAAACTGCTCAAGCACGTCTTATACACCGTCTTCCTACAGTATCTACTAATGAGGGGGGGAGCGTAACCAGCAACTTTACATTTAGGAGTCCGATTCATTTACCCCTGACACCCATCTGCTTGATGGCTATAATTATATCAACAGAGAGCCGCGTTCTCTCTCACCAAGATTTCCCTCATTTTTTGTTTCCACCCGCTCATACCCTCATTCTGTTTCGCCCTGGAATTTTCATCAGCTATACTTTAAGTATATTTAATTTTTGTGATGATAAAAGAACTCCCCACCCCCTACGATCAGAACTTAAATTGGGCCGGAACCCACCGGATCTGAACTCCGGTGCTTCTTAATTTTTGTAATAAACCATAATTCTAGCCGGAACGCACCGGAGCCCTGAATAAGAAGGCTTCTTTTATTAACTTAAATTCTTTTATGTAATTGAATAATAATTTCAGTAGAAATTTTATCTCGAAAATTTTATTTTAACAATAAAATTATATTAAAAATCGCGTATTAAATTTCAATTTATCTCTTTACATTTTATTTAATTTTAATTAGTTAATTACTTCAATCTTTAATTAATTCAATAAATAATAATTAATTATCTAATAATTATCTATTAAATTATAATTAATTAATTATATAATACTTATTGATTATTAAATAACAATTTATAAACATTAATTAAATATCTATTAATTAATTTGATAATAATTAACTATTTAATTTTAAATTTATTAATAAGTTTAATAGTCATTTTATTTATTTATTTACTCTTGTTCCTCTCTGCTGATGGTCTTCCATAGGGTCCCGCACTTCTAATCTTAGAAATGAAGCCCTGTTCAGTATATAAAGCAGTACTTTACTATACACACATACAACACACAAAAAGAAAAAAAAAATCAACTGCGTTTATAACATGTTAGTTTTTAATGCTATTATTACTAACTGTGAATGTATTATTAATTCATTGAAGAGATTTAACTGATAATATTTAAACTAGTGTTTTCCAGTTTGTGAAATGAGTGTGTGTTGTGAAAGGCTAATTATGGAATTTATAGGTAAATAGTTCTGAGTAGTAGAGGTTTAAAAAAATAATAGCAAATAAAACAAGAGTATAGATTTAAATTTTATTGTTAATAAAAATTTTTAAAAGTTCAGTCAATGAGATTATGTATAAAATAAAAATAAATAACTTGAATCAATGACATGAATGCCATTAATGCTTGGCCCTCAGTGCTATAGACGAACTTATTAGGGATTTTTCATGAAGAGTGTTTTTGCTTCTAAACGAAGCAGGATTAAAAATAAATGCATCAAAATGTAAATTTGTGGCCTAGGAACTTTGTCACTTAAGCTATAAGATATTTCACTATCTGAAATAGTTGCAATAAAATAGTTGCAATAAAAATTACTCGCCACCAAATACAGCAAAAAAATGTATCCTCATTTTTGGGATTTTGTTTCTATTACAGGACTTTTATCAAATTCTTTGCACAGATAGATCTCTGTTAAAATCAATAAGAAATAAAGCGGGATTTACTTAATCGACCGAAACTAACCCAGCGTTCGAAAAACTAAAAAAAAAGTTAATTCAAGCTCCAGTTTTGAAATATTTGAAAGTGAGGGGAACTTAGAAATTGCAGGAAATGCCTCATATTATACCGTTGGCGATGTTCTCTTGCAAAACGGACAGTCTGTAGCTTACTTTAGTAAGACATTTAACACATCTAACAGGAATTATACGGTTCCGGATATGAAAACGTTAGCAGTTCTTTTAGCGGTTTAGAAATTTCACGCGTATTTTAGAGAGATGTCAGATACAGTTTTCTCAGATCATGCCATCTTGTGTCGTTTGTATTTCTATATTCGTTCTGGGAAGATTGTATAGTCAAAACTTATTATATGGACCCTTAAACTGCAGGAATACAAGCTAATAGTTAAGCATAGTCTAGGAAAGGAGAACGCTGAGGCAAGCCCTCTGTCAAGATTAAGACTAGATGGAGAGGAAAAGAAACTTAAGTGTGCAATGCTAACTGAAAAATTTCAGATTCCCGAAAGACTTTCTGAGCAACAAAAAGACCCTGAACTTAAAAATATTTGTTAATTTAAAAATATTTCATTTAACAGATACTGACAATTTCGAACACCAAGATATAACGGCTATCAGAATTAGTGTCGTAAATTATGATAGCCGTTACTGAGACCGGATATCCTAGCTAGTTTAAGAATTACTAAATTTGAAGGAAATATATAATACGCCAATTTCAGATCATCTAGGCAATGGAAAAAAACGACAGCGACTTTGCGAATCTCTTTATCATTTCCCATTTGCGAATCTTTTCCACAGCTACAAAAATCTTCTATGGGGTACGTCATGTCTTTCCCTATTTGTCAATGAGTTAACAATGTTATTAGATCCCGACGCTTTATTTAAACAGCGTAAAAGCTACATACCCAAGTGAGTTAGTAAGAGTTGATTTATTAGGTTTGTACCCAAGTAGGACCTAATAAAAGATACTTACTCATTATCGTGGATAATTTTTAAAGTGATCAGAAATAATTCTCCTCAAAAGAGCCTCGCTAAAATTGTTTCAGACCCTTTTCTAAGGAAATGTATTTTAAGATATGGGAGCACATTAAAAGTAATTTCGGACAATGGAAAGCAAATTTTTAGTCAAATTTTGGAGGAATTAAGCACAATGCATGGCATACGACTTCTAAAAATAGTTCCTTATTGGCCGCAGTCAAATATGGCAGAGCTGGTAAATTAAAATATAGTTAACATTATTTGTAGTTATATACAGAATTATTATATGCGCTGGGATGTCTGTGACAATGAATTTGCATTTGTCTTGAAGACGGCTAAACATGATACTACTGGGAAGACGCCAGCTGAATTAATTCTTGGTAGAAAGTTAATTGCAACTCTCAGAGCTATTTTTCGTTCAAAAGAGCGTTGCGTAATTTAAAATGGCAGAAGTTAGTCGACGAAGATATCCGAAATAATAATTTGGATAATGCAAGCAAAAAAACAAAATTATGTGAAGAGGAGGTGCGACTTTAATTTTAAGGTGGGAGATAAAGTACTTAAAATAAAACATACTCTTTCATGTGCACTTGAGGTTAAAGTGGGAAAATGTTTCCCTAAATCTGAAGGCCATTTCGTAATTGAAAACGTTTGGGAGACAGTGATTTAGATAAAGAAACAAAATAGTGAGAATAGGTTGGCTTATATGGATCAGATAAAGAAATAATATGAGCGGGCTGATATGCTCCTTCTAAAAATATTTTGCAAGAATTACATCCTAACAGAAATGCAGTGCCAGCTATAAAGTCTACAGAATTTCAAGCGATATCTTGAATACAAGTCCCGGGAAATAAAAGAAGGGTTGTTGCGAATGAGGGAGTTGAAAAGAAAAAAAGAACCAAGGCTCGACGCATCAAAAGGAAGCGAGCTGACAGAGAAAAGGGAGCCAAGACTAAGGAGTAACAAATCCTCAAGAAATGAAAAGGAAGATCAGCAATCCATCAGACTGAGCGACCGATCGACGGAGAATCAGATACAGCTCAG